GCTTGTGCAGCAGGCAGCGAAACCACTGAGCTAAATCCCCGGCCCTACTGGTTCTTTTTTAAACATAAATCCTCAAGAAAGAATCACAGAAATGAAGAAAGGATTTAGGCGCCTAACTTTCCACTGAAAATATCCCACACTTCAGGTCACCCTCACCACCATGAGCACGGTCACTAAATAACAGAAGCAAACTACACAACAGAGACATTTCCCTCTTCACTGCAAAGCTGAATGAAGGCAGGAATCACATTTGACCTTAACTGGGAGCCTACCCAGTGTATGGCTAACAGCAGGCCCTCGAACACAGGGATGAAATAACTTACATGTCCACCACCGGCCAAAAGGATCAACAAAATGCAGTCTGTCCAGACAGTGGAATTATTCAGACTCAAAAAGGAACCAGGCTCTGCTGCCACGGCAGGATGGATGGACCTCAAAACACCATGCCATCCAAGAGAAGCCAAACAGTAAATGACACAAAATGTATGATCCTGTATCAAGAAACATCCAGAATAGACAAAGGTGCAGAGAAGGAAAGCAGATTGGTGACTGCCAGGCCTGAGACAGGAGGGCAGGCGAGTGACTGCTCATTGGGTTGGATGTGGTTTGTCCCCCAATGGCTCATATGTTGGAAGTGTTGTCCCCAGCGTGGTGGCGGTAAGAGATGGTGGAAACTTGAATGAATGATACTCCCTAAACCTAGAAAGAAGCCAAAGTCTGTCTCTGATTTGTCTGAATTACCGACCCCAGAAAAAACTATCCAATAAAGGTGGGGTGGGAACTTGGAAAACAAACGCTGAGTTTGCCCTGAGCCAGGGTTTAGCAGGCCAAGTCCATCTCAATGCTATTTTTGTAAAGCTTGTAAGCCAAGAATGGTTTTCACCTTGTTAGTGTTATTTAAAAAGAGAGAGAAAGGACACACAATGTACACATCTGGCTCACAGTCCTAAAATACTGCCCAGTGATTTGCCTGAATAAATCACCCTCCTTAGGAGTAAAACTATTTGGGTCCATCTCTCCTTACAGTTAAGACTCTAAACCTGAGCTGTGGAACAAATAAGAGATAAAATATTTATGCACCTTTGCAGACCTCAGTGAATGCCTGCGCCCAGGTATGGCCTGGACTGTCTGCTGCAGCTACTTCTGTCCTGGAAGAACTGGCCACTGGAAGGTCCGGATCCACTGAGCCTCAGATCAGGGAGGGGCTTCCTCCTCCCCCGGAAACACCCAAGAAACACTGCTGGGCTGATTGATGTGGCTCTGAGTCCCATGGCCACGTTATTCCCAGACCCTGAGACCAGTGCAGTGAAATTCTTCTCTGGTCAGCCTTCTTCTGGTTTCCTGCCCCCACTCTCAACTCCCCATCACTCAGATCTCAGCAGCTGGTGGGAGGGGGCCACCTGGAGTGAAGAAGGTGGATTCAGCCTGGGGACAGTGTCCGCTGTCAGACACAGCCATGGGCTGGGTCCCAGAACCCACCTGAGCAATGGAACTCTGCCCCTGCCTCTGCTTGTCTATGGAAAGGCAGGAGAGAAAAAGATGGAGCAAAGCCTGCAGGCGCTAAAGCACATGGGACCAAACAGGGACGCCCAGGGTAACAGCAGTTGGGGGCCTAGATTTCTCATTTCTGAGGACACTCCCCCAGCTGGCTGGGGGTCACCCTGAGGTTCTGAAGCAACAGTAAGAATACAGACAGAATACAGGGGCCTGGAAGTGTCCCCCTCCCAATCTCTTGGATTAGGGCCTGGTATTTGATAAACAATTCTTAACTACCAGAAACCATAGCAAAAGCCACCTGCTCCTACAGTTAGCAGCCTCCCCTTTCCTGGTGGAGGTGGAGATCCAGTTCCTGGATTAGATTTTCGAGTGTCTATCTCCCCATCAGCAGGATAAGGACCACAATGCACTTCAAGACTGGGCATGGGAAGTGCCGAAGCCTGCTGGGTGCCCACACTCCCCAGTTCAGGAGCTACAGTCAGCACTGCTGTCTCACCGTACTCTCCCCACCAAAGCTGGGCCAAGAGTCACTGCCACTTAGCAAAGACAAGAGTTGCAGCTTGGTGGTAAAAGTTACCATGATGGCACAGGGTAGGGCCAGTTGATAGAGGCTGGTGTCCAAGCCTGGGCTTGGGGCTGTCAGGAGATGGCCAATGAGCTCCTTAACTAAGGAGAGAAAAGCAGCACTTCAGTACCAAGCATTCCCTTGAGCCTCCACCACCCTGGGAGAAGTATTACGTTTCAGCTGCCCTAGTGAAACAGCAGCCTCACAGACCAGAATTGGTCACAGACCCGAGGGAAGGGTCAGGATTCAAACCCAGTTTGGCCCACAGGCTCCCTGCTTCTTTCACTTCCAGTGCTGCCTCCTGATTCAGAAGCCTCTGCTGGCCCCACCGTGAGCCTCAGGTTCTGCCCCCATGGGAGCCCTCAGGATGAGCCTCCAGGCCTCACCCTGAGCTCAGCTCCCCTCCCGTGAGCCCTTGGCACCACCTCACAGGACCACAGGACTAACAACTGGTCCCTGCCAGAGCCGTGCAGTGGCATGGGGAAGCACTCCAGGACAGACCGCAGTGCGATGAGCACCAGCTTCCCACAGGCTGGCTAAGGTGCGGTCACGTCCCTCCATCTCTCCCCCACCATCTCTCCCCCCACGAAGAGGGCTCTCTTCTCCATCTCCTTCCTCAACCCACCTGAACACAGTGGCAGGGGTTTGTCATGGGGCCGAAGAAAGGCCAAGGCCACTCCATCCAACCAAATTCAGGAGCCTGGTGTCTGGGTCTCAGACTGGTAATTCCGAGGAACCAAAGTGGCTGGGACCCAGGCAGCCAGGGTGTCATGGAGCCCAGTGCCATAACACACTTCTGCACCCTGCTCTGCAGACAGATCTTCCCCACGCAGGAGCTGCTGCCTGGGCTCCTGGGCATCTGCCCTAAACCCTGGTGGTGGAGGGCACCAAAGTACCTTGGGTTTCAGTGTCCCACCCCACTCAACACTCCATGAAATGTAAACCAGTACAACCACTATCAAGATTCCTCAAAAAACTAAAACTAAAAATTCCATTTGGGCCAGGTACTTCTCTTCTGGATACTGTCCCAAAAGAATTAAATTAACCATATTACAGTGATACATGCACACTAATGCAATTCACAATAGCTAAATTATGGAAGTGGCTTATACGCCCACCAAGAGATGAATGGATTAAAAATACAATTTTATACATACACACATACGTGTATATAAAATGGAGTAGTATTCAGCCATAAAGGATAAATTTGAGTCATTTGCAAGAAATGGATGGATCTTGAGACCATAATGCTATGTAGAATAAATCAGACATACACACTAAATATCACATGGTTTCTCTTATATGAGAAACTTAAAATATAAGTAATTTAAAGAGCAAAATAAAGGAGAGATGGTAGGAAACAGGGAGGTAGATTATGTGGAGATGGGAAGGGGATCTGGGGAAAGAGAAAAGCATGGTGTGGGGGAAGAGGAAGCAAAAATGATTAAGATGAGATATCTATATGTACCAATTCCCCAAGATGACTGTAAGTATGATACATTGAAAACATGTACCACTAAAAAAATTTTTTTTTTTAAAAAAGTGACCTGACAGCACTCAGGGTGGGCTCCAATCAAAGGCATTGGAGGACACCCAACCTGCACTTCCCCATTCAGCAGGAAGCTGGCACAAGCCCATGGATGCAAACAACAGATCCTCAATGCTTTATGTCCCGAAAAGAGCCAAACACACCGAGGGCCAGACACACCTTAGCTGCACACGCGCCCCCTCGGAGAGTTCGCAGAAGCAGCCTTGCCATTGGGCACCTCCCCAGTTCGACAGGCTGTGTCAGGAGGTGGTGGGGACAGGACAGGGCATTCCTCAGCCTGCTGGCAGGGGGGCCCTCACCCTACGGAACCAAGGAGCCTGGGCAGGGATGGGACCCTGTGGCCCCAGCAGGTATAGACAGCCGACTGCCTAAAATGGTCTGCAAGTCTAAAAGTGGTCTGAGGACAGGTGATACCCACAATTGCTGGGCTGAAAACTAGGCTGCCACATTGGACTCCTAGGAGCAGACCCATTGCTCCTAAATATAATCCACCAAATAAATTTTACATCTACTACTTTTTAGCCACAAGTATTTCCTTCAAACTTTCAGTGTCTCCCACCATACCAGGGCGTTTCTATGTCTACCTTTTTTTTTTTAAATCAATGATATTTTCTCTTGATAAACAGCCTTTTGCTTGCCAGGGGCTTCTGTCCAAGAGACAGTACTTCAATCAACAGCAGCAGTTGACTCAGCTGGAGCATCCAAGCTGAGTGCTTGGAAAGCTAATGGCAATTAGAAAGAGCAATGATGGCGATGGCCCTGCGTCATGAAATCTTCCCTTCCCTCGATGTTTTACACTTTTCACAGCACTTGCAAAGTGCTTCCCAATTACTGTACTTTCATTAAGTCCACAGGTAAAGAATTCACAGGCTTTCGATTAGCTTGCAACAATACGCCTCATAAAAACACCCTCGCGTGACTGTAAATAAAGAGCACCGGTTAACTTTTACGCCTTTCTTCTTGCGCGGCCTCTCAGAGGAGCGCACACTGCAAGTCTGACCTGTGGCAGCTGGGGAGCTGGGCGTGACCCCACACTGCTGTTAAGCAATCCAGTAGCAGGAGTTAGTCGCAATTTAGGGCTCCTGAGCCAGAGGTTCAAAACATCTTATCAAACCCAGGTTATTGAGAAAAAACAAAGGCGCTGTCCGGCCCCACCACGCCGAGAAGTTAGGCTTTAGGGTGGACAGACCGAGGGGGAACTCCCCGGGGGGCTCGCCTTCCATCCGAACCGGAGGCGCTCGGTACTCAGAACAAGGCGCTGGGTTCCAACCTCGCCACCTTAGGGAAAGGAAAGGGTGACTTCGGAGCAGGGCCCAGGTGGGTCCCCCGGGGCAGAGCCTTTGCCCCACCTTCAGCCTGCAGCAGCGCCCAGGCCGGTGAGCGCCTCACCTGAGCGAAGTACAGGTTCATGAGCGTGAGCGTGAAGAACTGGAGGCACACGGGGAAGCAGTAGAGCAACCAGAAGAGGAAGGGGCCCAGCGAGTTGGCCGCCACGAAGTCCCTGAAGTAGAAGGAGAAGAGCACGGTGCGCAGCGAGGCCCAGCAGAGGCAGAGGAAGAGGAAGACGCTCTGGTAGCTGAGCCGCTTGTGGCGGTAGCGCAGCACCAGCCAGAGCTGCGCGTAGATGAAGGCGAAGAGCAGCGCGTAGAACACGGTGTAGACCACGGTGAGCCCGAGCTTCACGTGCGGGGGCACGGCGGGGGTCAGCGTGGGCGACAGCGAGTCGTTGCGCGCCGGGTCCCACCGTGGCGCCTCCATACGGCCAGGGGCGCCCGCGCCTCATCGGGGCTCGCGGCCGCCGCCCCCGCGGGGTTCTCGGAGCATCGCGCTCCGCCCGTGGCCCGACACGGAGTGCAGAAAACAAGCTGCACTTCCTTCGCCGCACCACATGATCCGCGGGGCGGCCTTTGTCTGGGATTGGCAGCGCCGCGCCCCCGGACCGGCGCCCGCGCAAGGCGCAGCCGCCAAGGCCCCGCCCCGGCCCGGGATCGCGCCCCGCCCCGCACGCCCCTCGACCCCCGCCCCGCGCCCGCCCTGGGGTTCCTGACCTGGACCTCGCGCTTTCTGCTGCTGGTCACTTGTTTTGCAGGAGTTCATTCTTCTATGTAAAAACAAAAGCACTTTGCAGGTTCCTTTTTTCTCTCTCTCTAAAAAGAAAACTTTATGACTCTAGCTGTGAATTGGCTGGCGTCTGAAGTGAAGTTTATTTCTGAGGTCGTTTGCACCCTCACTAGAGAAAGCGGACTGTGCCGCTGGGGGCGGCCCCCTCTCAGGCAGGAGCTGTCTCTGGATCCCCTGGGGTGCTCTCTCCGAGCTGCCCACCGCAGGACCTGTCCTCCCGCCCAACAGATCCAACACCCTGCTCTGCCGCTGTTTCCCAGCCATCCCTTCCAGGCAGAGAAGCTGCCTCAGTGTATCCTGGGTGCCACTTTACCTTTAGGCCGTCAGTGCTGGATTCTGGACAGAGCGGGGAGGGCAGGCGACAGAGTGGAAGCTTCACTAGGCAAGCAGTTCAGATGTACGCTAGAGACCCGAATTTCCAAGGTGCCAGTCATTTATTGTGACTTCTTGCCTCGTCTTAACACCTTGATGCTTACGTGCTCATAATTGTGTTATTTTTTTTTTCCTAAAGAGAACCCAGCGGAGCCTGGATGTGGCTTTTCCTCACAATTATTTATTGTTTGCACGCTTCCTACTGAGTTTCTAGTTCCATTCCTTACCCCTCTCTGAAGAGAAGACCTCTGGCTTTGTTCCCCACAAGCTATTCTGCGCAGAGGAGCCAGGATGACCTTTTTACAGACTACACCTGCAGAGCATACTATAGTGATACCTGCATACCCATGTTTATTGCAGCACAATTCACAGTAGCTAAACTATGGAAAGAGCCTAAGTGCCTATCAACTGACTAATGGATAACAAAAATGTAGTTCTTACGTACATACTTTGGAATATTATTCAACCATAAAGAATGAAATTGTTGGGCCAGGTATTTAGCTCAGTGGTTTAGGCGCCTGCTGCTCAAGCGCAAGGACCCGAGTTCGATCCCCGGTACAAAAAAAAAAAAAAAGAAAAGAAAGAATGAAATTGTTCATTTGAAAGAGAATGGATGAATTGGAGAACATCATGTTAAATGAGAGGAACCAGACTGAGAAAGTCAAATATTTCCTGTTTTCTCTCATAGGATGTGGAATCTAAAAGTAAAAGAGAAAAGACATGAAGTAGAAGGGAGACAATTATAGAAGAAGACAGGATGGGGGCCAGGGGAGGAAAAGGGGGAAAGGAGGAGAATGATCAAAATACGTTATGCGCTGCGGGAGCGCTAAGACCCAAGTTTGATCCCCGGTACAAAAAAAAAAAAAAAAAAGAAGTTTAGGGCTGGGGATTCAGCTCAGTGGTTCCGCTGCCTGCCGTGTCAAGCACGAGCTCCCGAGTTCGATCCCCAGTACCAAAAAAAAAAAAAAAAAAAAAAACCACAAACAAAATACATTATGTACATATAAGAAAACAAAGTCTCCTGTCCTCTATAACTAATATGCACTAATAAAAAAGAATTTAAAAACAAAAGAATACACCTACCATGTTGACTTCCACGCTGAAATTCCCCGCACCTGCTCCTCATCGTTCTATCAGCCAAACTCTTCCCCAGCCCACCCTCCAACTCATCTCCTAAATGGGAGCAGTGTGGACACCTGTTTACACTCCCAGGCCAAGGCAATCCCTCCACACCTTCCTGCACCAAGGAAGGTGTGGCCCGGTTCTACTCATCTGGAAAGGTGTCACTTGGCCCAGACGATCTTTACAGGCCACACCACCCACGATCCTATCGCTCCCTGGGATTAATGCTCCACCTGTGTGCTTCCTTCCCTCATTGCCTAATTGCTAGTCACATTGACTTGTCTGCAAGTTTCCTTGGGATGCAAACCATGCCTTGTTTACCGGTGTCTCCCCTGCTACACCAAGAAAGCACCTGCCTTCATTTTATCATACTGAAAGTATACAGTTTGTCATCAGAGGTCCAAGCTCTAACATTTCTCCTGCATTGTGCCTGGGCTCTGTTCACAAAACTACCTCACCATCCATGCTCTCCAACCGTGGTGTCCACATCCTAGGCTGACATTAGGAAGAACAGAGGAGAACGAAGTGGCACCTATTCTCTCTTGCTTTTGAAACCTTCCCAGAAATAACACACATAGATCCACTTGCAGCTCCTCAGTAGAACTTAATTACCGTAGTGAGCTAGCTGCAGAAGAGATTGGGAAATGCCATTTTTTATTCAACATGGTGTTAAGCACAGCTAAAATTCATGGTTCTGTTATTATAGACAAAGAGAGGGATAGATTTGGGGAGGAATTATCAATCTTCACCACACCTTCAAAAGAGCCAGAAAGAATGTCAAATGGCTGCATTACACCAGCTCTTTGACTACCCTTCCTTATAATTCTAAAAATAAAGATGATATGTGCTTAATATAAAAGTGCACATCTTTAATAATAAAGATGCACTCACTTAATAATGTAACATAGCACCCCTTGACAATGGAAAAACACGTTCCTTCCTTCCCCTAAAAGGAGTATGAGTTTCTGCGTCCAGCTCCACACCCAGGAGCTCTGAGTGGTAGTCATTCCTCCTTTAATTCTGTCACAATCCCATCTCAATGTTCTGTAACTCATAGACTGCAGTTGGTCCTATATAAGATAGGAGAGAAAAAGGAACAGATGAGGAAGGGCAGTTATTTGAAATAGAAATATACATATGCCACAGCAAGGAAGGAAACAGAAGTTAAGAGTTCCTGTTTTGCAGCTGGTCATAAGGCTACAATTGGTATTTATGACTCCTGGACTTACTGCCCATTGCATAATCTCCCTTTCCCTTTGTCAGGCATCTCAACTACTCAGAGGAATTTGAGGTTATTATTGTCTGCCACTGGATATGCCAGTAGCAACCAGGCATTACCATGACTGGATTCTACTTACCTACTTTTGCCCATCCCATAAGAGCAACCTTACTTCCACACAGTTCTCATTATTGTCACACTGATCACTATCATCATAACCAGCACTTTTGCAACCCACCCACTGAGACGAAATAACCAGAGTCTCAGTTTTCATTTCAATGGAACTTGAATCCTTGCAGTGGATGAATTTCTCTTTGGTTACCAGCACCTTCAAGAGTGGAGCCTAGAGAGGAAAAAACAGAAACAAAAACTTAGCAAATAGATCAGTGGGTGTATTCTTGAGAGGGGAGTTTCTCTTTGTTCCTATACCCATGTGTCTTAACTGCAAGGCAATAGCATCCTACATTGACTTGGGAGTCAGAGAAGATTCTAATACTATAGGATAGTGACTTTCCTTTGCCAGGTACTGTCTTCCAATGGCCATTCCACCATTCTAAAAATTCAGCTGCTACTGAGGGACAGAAATGAGCCCATCACATTTCTTTTTTTGATGTAAAATGAGGTCCCTGGGCAGAAGCAATGCTGTGGGGTACCAAATGGTAAGGGACACAGAAAGTCTAAAGGTGGTAGTGGAGGCACTGATGAGCAAGGGCAGTCAACCCAAGTTCCAAAGCACTGTTCATTACAGTGGGGACATGTCACTGATATCCTCCACGAGCAAAGAGGTCTATGTAATCTGCTTCCATGTGGATACTTGGGACAGCCCCTAGTTTTGGAAACTTTTGGAAGACTGAGAATTGGCTGGTGATGCCAGTGAGAAGCCAGGTCAGCCTTGGGAGGGGAAAGTCCACGTTGTAAGAACACGGAACAGTTCTGTCCTTGCCTTCATGGTCACCAAGCCTGCAAGCCCATTGGAAAACCAATGAGCCAGCTAGGGACAGAAGATGACTCAAATCACAAGGCAGGTCACCTCTTCCTACTGAAAGTTGAGGCCCCAGTGTAACTGGATCATTTAATGAACCTGACTTGTTGGCTTGATGGATCAGAATAATGTACATCTCAATAGGGCAGCTCAGAACTGCCTCATGACCCAAGATTCTTGATCAGGTGTTCAGCATCTCCTCTCTCTCTCTCTCTCTCTCTCTCTCTCTCCCTCCCCCCCCTCCCCTCTCCCCCTCTCCCCCTCCCCATGCTTTCAGTATGGAACAATCACATTTATCG